AGTATCACTACAGAAGTAGATTGCCCAGTCTTCCTAGCAAGGAATGGCTGGTGGGTTTGAACTGCCTGCCTTCTGATTAGTAGTCAGATGCATTAGGCACTATGCCAACAGAGTTTCCATTTGATGCACATAAGTGTTTGATTTTTAGACGATCCCAGTCATCTGGTTTATCTCCTGATGTTTTGAAGTTTTACTTATGTTGGATAGACTATTTATGCTATGAATTAGGGCCCTTAAGTTTGCCCCTGTTTTTCCTTCCATCATCTTTATAGTTTTAGATTTTATATTTAGGTCTTTGAGCCATGTTGAGTTAGTTTTTGTATATGGTGTGAGGTATGGATCCTGTTTAATTTTTCTACAAGTGAGTACCCAGTGACAATCTCTTTTTGTTTGTTTGTTTGTTTTAAATTGTGATTTGGGTGAAAGTTGACAGAGCAAATTCATTTTCCATACTGCAGTTAATACACATTTTGCTTCATGAGATTGATTGCAATCTCCAAAATATAACAGCTCTCTTCCAACTTAAAAAAAGACAGTCTCTTCTCCATTTAATGGATTTTGGTCACTTGTAGATCAACTGTCCATAGGTGAGTGGATGGCTCTTTTTTTTTTTTTTTTTTATTTCTTTTTGGTATAATTGGTCTTATTTTTAAGGTGCCCTGGTGGGGTGATGCCTAAGGCATTTGATTGCTGACTAGAAGGGTGGCAGTTCAAACCCACAGCCGTTCCTCAGGAGGAAGATGGGGCAATTTACTTCCTTAAAGATTTACCACCGTGGAAACCAAAAGGGGATCTCTATGAGTCGGAATCAACTTGATGGCAATGAGTTTGGTTGGGTTTGCTTCTTGTTTTTATGGGAAATAACAACAAAGCTACTGGTGTTGCTCGGGAAAGTGAATTATGCCTTGAGAGGTACACGTGGCCATGTGAGCTCGGAGGGGAAAGGTCTTTGTTGGAGTCAGTCCTTGAAATCACATAATGGAGAGTTAGAGTTGGAATTTAGATAAAATTCAGGGGCCAAGTTAGTCCTAAAAGACAGAAGAACCAGCTCTGAAAATGTTCTTATTCCTACTAATATTTATTTCCAGTGGGATGAACATTGATTTCTTTAATGCTGGAGCGTTAGTGTTCATTGACAAAGAACTACGGCATGAAAAGCCCCACCCATCAAGCTGGAAGGTACAGGGATGTTCAGGAACATACTCAGCAGGAGATGGGTCTGCCCCTGGAGCACATGATGGGGAAGCGCGTTTTCCAAATAGATCAGAGAACAAATACGGAAAGACTGTTTACAAAACATCAGAAGACACAGTCCAGGTCCTGAAAGCTTGTAAGCTTTATCTGTTGACAAGATTCTGATATGGGCCAAGAAGGCCTAGGAGCATGGAGGCGAGGTGACCCTTCTCACTTCAGTCCCGTGCATCCAAACGACTGAACCCTGTGGGCCCCACAGGCCCCTACAGACCCGTAGGCATCTGGTACCAAGTTTCCTTCAAGGTAGAAACGCTCACCTTCGGTAACCAAATAGGAGCAGCTGGAGCCCGTGGTTGCTGGTATGACAACTGCCACCAAGCCAGATGGCAGATGTCGAGCGCTCAGGCCACTGATGCTTTGAAGGCAATAAGGGACAGCCCGTCCTTCAGGGCCAGACCAGGAGTCAGCAGCGGAGGCCCTGCTGGGGGATAGCTGACAATCTCCTGCACCCTCCCCCACAAGAAGCCTTGTGTGGTGGCACCTCAAGCCAAGTTGCTAATGGGCACGCTGGCCTCTGTGACCTGTACTGCGTCGGGGAGGACGTGTCTGGGAGGGGACAGTGATCCACTGAGCCCGGCACCAGGCCCTTGGAGACAGAGGGCCTTCAGAGGGAGCAGTCACCAGTCACACACACTGTGTCCTCTGAGGGGGCTTGAAGGACTCAGGCAGTCTGCACTTTGAGAAGACACGGGTTGCCATGGGGTCTTGGGGTTCTTGAGTGGTTCCCATGAAGAGGAGAGATTAGACGTCACCGATGGGTTGGAAGGAGGACACGTGGCCAGAAGGTTCTGGATGGTTTGGTGTTGTCTGTGCAGAGGCTTCCTCTTGGTCTGAGTTGCCACAGAGTGGCCCTGTGCCTCGGGGCGTTGGCGTGAGAGCTGAGAAGGACCCGACGTGCAGGCTAACCCGGAGGCCTCCCATGGTTCGTCAGATGCCGGCGGATGACATGAGACTTTCTGCCCAGAGACGAAGGACACCAAACAGCACGTACGCCAGAATATGTGGCCCTCAAGCTCACGGGGGCACTGTGGACGGCCAGGGTCAGCACCTGAACGTGCAGTGGGTTGTGTCACGGCAGAACTCGCTGCCTTCGAGTTCACTGTGACTCATGGCAACCCCTCCTTGGGTTTCTGAGGCAGTATCTCTACGGAAGTAGATTGCCCGGTCTTTCTTCTCGGGAGTGGCTGGTGGGTTTGAACTGCCAGCCTTCTGGTTAGCAGTCAAGTGCCTTAGGCACTGCACCATCAGCGCTCTTGTGTCTCAGGAGAGGAACTCTGAACTTAGGGACCCCCAGGATGTCACTCGACCTCCACCTCCTGTGCCTCATCTGTGCTGTGAATGACAACTGCCTCTGCTCCTGAGGGCTACAGTCGGGAATGGGGGTGACGAGAAAGCACTGGGCAGCTAGTCCGTGCTCGCCCACGTCCACTGCCCTTCCTTACATGAGGCACAGCACGATGGGAAGCCGGTGCTGGAAAGTTCAGATTCACAGGACAAACAATGATGCATTAGTTCTTTTTCCTTCTGTAAAAAAAACCTTCAAATTCCTGGCCATCAAGTCCATTTCAACTCATAGTGCCCCCACTGGTTTCCAAGACTGTCAGTTTATGGAAGTAGATCGCCCCATCTTCCTTCCACAGAGCAGCTGGTGGGTTTGAACCTCAGACCATCGGGTTAGTAACCAAGTGTTTATCCACTGCACCACCAGAGCTGTATGGCTTATAAAACCGTTTATAAGATCACTGCAAAACCAAAACCACTTTCTTATAAAGTTAAAGAGAAGTGGATAAAGAGCTTCTTGGACCTTTGGGGTCGGGTGAAGGACGCGTGCAGAAGCACACGTCTGGCTCATCTTCCTGCAGCACCGCCAGGGAAAGCAGGGAAAGAAACTTTCAAGTTTGCAAACAAATCGACCAGAAGCCAAACCCACTCCTGTTGCATCAATTCCAACTCATAAGAGTCTGTAAAATTCCCAGAAGAGATGAATAATTTTACACTCCAGGGATTTCTTGGTGCAGTAGTGTTAGCTGAAGGGCATGCAAGGCATCTAGCTAGAGGAAGGAGTCCTCACAGAAAAGTACTGCTCACATTCACGCGTGAAGATAAAAGTGTCAAAGTCATTGGTTAGTTTGATACTCCAGGGGTGTTGCACCTAGATCTTGAGTTTGGGGCAAATTCCAGGAAAGTTGGTTAATGTTTCTCCACCACAATACCTGTTTTCTTATAAACAACCCTTGTCGTTTCCCACGAGCACAGCCCTCGGGTATCAGCGGTTCACTGGAGGAGCTTCAGGTCTTTGTGCAGAAGGCCGTCCTTGGGTTTCATTTGCCACACCTCCTTCACCAGCAATTCCCAATGAGCAACATTGGGATAATCGGAGAAAATATTGAAGGTGTCCCAAGATTTCTTTTTATGTGGATCCACAAGCAACACCCATGGAAGCAACAGCCAAGAAATCTGGAAATGTATTGCACTGGGCAAATCTGCTACAAAAGACCTCTTTAAGGTGTTGAAGAGCAAAGATGTCACTTTGAAGACTAAGATGCACCCAGCCCAAGCCACGGTGTTTTCAGTCGCCTCATATGCGTGCGAGAGCTGGACAGTGAGTAAGGAAGACCGAAGAAGAGTTGATGCCTTTGAGTTATGGTGTTGGTGAAGAATATTGAGTATACCACGGACTGCCAGAAGAACTAACAAATCTGTCCCGGAGGAAGTGCAGCCAGAATGCTCCTTAGAAACGAGGATGACAAGATTTTGTCTCACCTCCTTTGGTCAAGTTGCCAGCAGGGACCATTCCCTGGAGAAGGATTTCATGCTTGGTAAAGTGAAGGGTCAATTGAAAAGGGGAAGGCCCTCAACGAGATTGACTGACACAGTGGCTGCAATGATGGGTTCAGGTATAGCAAGGACTTGAGGCCGTGCAGGACTGGGCAGTGTTTCATGGGATTGCTATGAGTTGGAACTGACTTGACCACACCTAACAACAGCATAGTGCCTAAGGCACTTGACTGCTAACCCAAGGTTCAAACCCACCAGCCATTCCTCGGAAGGAAGGTTGGGCAGTCCTACTTCCATAATGATACTGCCTCGGAAACCCAAGGAGGGGTCACTGTGAGTCGGGGCCGACTCGACAGCAAATAACAACAACAACAACAGCAACAACCTAGAGGAGGAAGGAGGTCAGAGGGTTGGGATGCACTTGTCCCAGGTGCTGGGAGGCCTGACCCAGCCTACCTCCAGTGGAGACCTGGCTGCTGTTTTGTGAGCACTGGCAGCCCTTCCCAGGGCCTCGCGCCTTGCCTTCTTCCTTATCATCAGAACAGCTGTGGGTGCAGACTCCTGTCATCCCCACAGAGAGGCTCAGGAATGTTCCCAGACCTGGCCAGCCCCGCCCACCGTGTACCTTGGCTCCTAGCACGGGGCCTGCCATACGGTGTGGATGATGGATGGCAAAATGCAGCACACCTCAGCAGGTGGGGTCACAGGAGGCTGCTACGTTCGACGTGACTCGAGCAGTGTGAATGACGGTGGGGGGTGTCCAGTGTCTCTTTGAAAAACCAAAAGCCGCATTCCACCCAGTACCCCACAAACTCCTTGGCAACAGTGGCCCAGCTCAGGGAGATGATCGGCCAGCAGCTGGGATGTGTTCTTAGGAGGCACCGGTCCCTGGATAAGATGGTCAGCGGAAAAGAGGAAAACCTTCAGTGAGATGGGTGGACACAGTGGCTGCACCAGGGGGTGCGAGCATGGCGGTGAGTGGGGCCGGACAGGGTCTGGGAGGAGGCCGCGGCCACGTTCCCTGCTGGACACGGTTCTAGAGAATTCTTGTTTCCTAAAATTCTTTCTTTTAAATTTATTTTTATTGTGATTTGGGTGAAAGTTTACAGAGCAAATTCACTTTCCATAAGCAATTCATGCACATTGTGTTTCATGATATTGACTGCAATCCCCACAGTGTAACAACTCTCTTCCCACTTCCTCCCTGTGGTTACCTCTTCCCTCTGTCCTTTCCTATGCACTCCTGCCCCAGAGCTGTCTCCCTGTGCAAACACTGCCCTTCTGTTCTCCCATGATTGATCACTCTAAGGAGTATATCTACCTGATATAAATGTTCACCCCATATGCCTGTCTGTTGTGTGGCTGGAGGCCACAGGAGTAAGTTCAGTTTCAGACCAGAAGGGTAGGTAGGGGCCATAGTCTCAGGGGTCTCACCAGGTTCTATCAGACCAGCAAACCTGGTCTTTTTAATGATTTTAGCTTTGTTCCACATTGTTCTCCTACTCTATCCAGGGTCTCCTACATCAATGCCCCTTGAGTAGTTGACAGTGGTAGCTGGGCACCATCTAGTTCTTCTGGTCTCATGGTCATGTAGGCTGAGGATTGACCGCATGGTCTACCAGTCCCTTGGACTGACTGTTTCCATGTGTCTTTGGTTTTCTTCATTCTTCTTTGCTCTGGACGAGGAGAGTTCCCTTGTTGCATCTGGATGGCCACTTGCCAGCTTTCCTAGACTCTTGGCTTCCTAGGTCTTCCATAGGTGTGACAGGTCCCTGTCCACCCTCTGTCTGCACCCACTAGTATCTCCACCTACGGGTCTCTCCACTTTGCTGACTGGTTTCACCTGCAGATTGTTGTCAGTTCGCACCCACAGCGACCCTGTGGGACAGAAGAGAACTCCCCATAGGGTGTCCTGTGCTGTGACCTTGATGAGAGCAGCTCACCAGGCCTTTCCTCCCAGGAGCCACTGGTGGCTTCAAACCACCAACCTTCTGGCTAGCAGCTGAGCGTTTGCCCTTTGTGGCAGCAGGGCTTCTCTGAAAACATAACCTGTTACTGCAGGGCCAGCTCAGCTCCCTGCACTTGGTCTCTCCCCTCCTCCAGGCAGGCCTTGGCCCACCGTCTGCACCCAGCTTCCCCTCCAAGCGGTTGGCCTGCTGTCTCCTCTGCCCCACAGCCTTGCCCACCCCTCAGCCTTCCTGAACTGCACTGTCCTCCCAGGCCCTGCTCCACACTGACCTCACCTGAGGCAAGAGTGGCACACCGAGAGATTGAGAGCTGGTGAGGGCCACCACAGCAGAGGCGCTCGGGATTCTGGGAATGCATGAGTAAGCCGAGGCTTGAGTTGGGTGTGTTTTTGTGGAGGTGGTAAAAATAATACCAAGGAACTCTGCTGGTGTAGTGGCTAAGACATTTGGCTGCTAACCAAGTCGGCAGTTCAAACCCACCACCTGCTCTGCAGGAGGAAGATGAGGCAGCCTAGTTCCGTAAAGAAATACAACCTTGGCAATCCAGTGGGGGTCTCTGTGAGTCGGAATCAACACAGTGTGGCACTGGGTTGGGTTTGATTTTTAGTAAAATACACAAAACAAAATACTTGCAGCTTCAACCATTTTGTTGTAGTTGTTGTTGAAAATACACCCAACAGAGTTCAGCAGTTTCTATGTGTACAGCTTAGTGACATCATCTCAGCCAGTGACACTGGGTGGCCACCATGTTGTGCAACATCACCACGCTGTTGCCACGTATTCATCACCCCGAACAGAAACGCTGTGTCCTTAAGGCTGAGCTTTTCCCTCCCCTTTCCCACCCACCACCCCTGAGAACCACTCATCTGCATTGGTCTCTGGACACACGCCTGTTGTAGGTATGTCACGTGAGTGGGATCACGTACCATCTGCCATCTTGTCTCTGACTTACCTCCCTCAGCACCATGTTTTTGAGGTCCATCCATGTTGGAACCCATATGACCACTTTGTCTTTCTGGCTGAAGAATGTCTACTGTTGGGTTGACACAGTTTGCTGATCCACCATCTGTTGATGGACACCAGAGCTGTTTGCACTGATTGCCTGCTGTGAATAGTGGGCATGTATCAGTTTGAGCCTGCCTTCAGTTCTTCGGTTTTTTTAAATAATGTATTTGATCTTTGTTGCTGAGACTGTATACAGGACAGACACCCAGTTAGCAGTCTGTGGAATTTCATGGAACCATTTCCACTTTTCAAGCTGGACACCAGTTCTCACCTTCCTTGTCCAAGTTGTTCCTCTCCCATGGACATAAACTCACTGCCCCCTAAGATTCTCATTTAATCTTTCGAGTTGCTATTGTCAGTTTGATTCCATAGGGAGATTTTTTTTTTTTTTTTTTTTAATTCTATTAATTGTGCTTTGGGTGCAAATGTACAAAGCATATTCAATTTACTCTCAACAGTTCATGCACATCTGATTTCATGCCCTGATGACCATCCCTAACCATAACAAACTCTCCTCTCCTCCCCTCTCATCCCTGTGACTAACCCCTCCTTGTGCCCTTCTTAACTACGCATTCCTATCTGTCCAGCTTTCCCTCTGTGTGAATGCTGCCCCGCTGATCCCCCATGGCAGATTGCTGTAAGGGGTACATCTCCCCAGAGTAGGTGGGTGCATCACCCTGGGGTAAGTGTTCTGCTTGTAGGTCTTTCTACTGCTGGGCTGAGAGCCAATCCATGGAAGTGAGTCCATTTCTAGGCCTGAAGGTACCCCGGGCCCATAGTCTTGGGGGTTCCACCAGTCTCTATCCGTCCAGTAATTCTGGTCATTTTTGTGTTTTTGGATTTTGTTCCACATTTTTGCTCCCACTCTAACCGGGATCTCCAGTTTTGATCCCTTTATGAGTGGTTGCTATTGGTAGGTAGCTGGGCACCATTTAGTTCTTCTGGTCTCGGGGTCATGGAGGCTGAGGTTCCCTTGGTCCATCGTGTCTTTGACATAGAAATAGTTCTTAAAATGCTCAAGGCAGATACTGTCTGCTGGTTAAGCAAAAGAATTGTTTGCATTCAAGAAGACTGGTGAGGTTGTTTTCAGTTTAAGTTCAAGGTCACTAGTTTCAGGGCTTCATCCAGCCTCCATGGCTCCAGAAAGTCTGGAGGCCATGCACATTTGAAATTCTGTTCTGCGTTTCCTCTCTTTGGACCGGGATTCTTCTATGGAATCTTGGATCAACATCTTCAGTCGTGGTCGCTGGGCGCCGTCCAGTTCTGGTCTCACGACAGTGGAGCCACACAGTCAGTGTCGTCCCCTGTTCCTGCCTCGCTCTCTTCCCCTCTCTGTCCAGGTGACTGCAGACCAGTTGTCGTGCCTTGGGTGGTCACACAGTGAACTAGGAGGCAGAACAAAAGCACTAACCATGTTAGTAGCCCAGTTAACTGGGCTGTCCCATGGAACCAGTGACCCTAAACCTCCACACCAAGGAACCAGATCCCATGAGGGGTGTGATTGTACACTGGCAGGCTCAGCACCTACTCTTTGGTTATTTTTGTTGTTGTAAATACATCTCACACAGCTTTTACCTGTTCAGCTTTTTCCAGGTGTGCACCTCATTATAGCAGTCACTCACGTTGGCTGTGCAGTCATACTCCTCTTTAATAATCCTTTGCAGTAAACCCAGGCTCAGCACTCCCTGAGCAGTGACCCCCACCTCCCATCCTCCTCCCTCCCATCCCTGGTGACCACTGGTGAACTTTGATCTTTGTACGTTTGCCCGTCCTTGTCCTATTTTTTATGTAAATGAGATCATACAGTATTTGTCCTTTTGTGATTGGCTTATTTCACTCAGCGTAACATCTTCCAGCTGTAGCCTGTATTGAGACTTCATTTTTCCTACTGGCTGAGTCTCATTCCATTGTCTGGATGGACCACATTGTGTTCCTCCATTCATCATGGATGGGCACGTAGGTTGTCTCCATCTTTTGGCTACTGTGACTGGCACTGCAGTGAACGCTGGTCTCCACGCATCTGTTGGAGTCTCTGCCTTCAAGTCTTTTGTCTGCTTTGGGCCCTTCAGGGGCTTCATGCCCAGGAACGGACTTGCTGGACCTGTGGTAATTCCATGTATAACTTTTTAAGGAACCACCAAGCTGTTGGCCTGGGCAGCTGCCCCACTTTGCATTCCCCCCAGCAGGGGCCAAGGGTCCCATTGTCTCCACACCTCCAGCCCTTATTTTGGGCCTTGAGCAAAGTCACCTGCCTGGGATGGGGTGCTGTCCCACTGTGGTTTTGATGTGTAATCTCCCTGGCAGGCAGAGTGTCAGCGGGGCTGCCAGGAGCCAGCCGGGCACTCCGCCCAGCTGGGTTTCTTTCAGTTGGGTGTGGCCTGACAGGCCTTGGGCAACTTTTCGCCTGGGAGGACCCAGAAGAACTGAGCCCTGAGCCCAGAGCCGTCTCGATTGGCCTTGAGGATGGGAATGATGGGTGAGGATGCTGGGACAACCTTGGCAAAGGACGCTTTTAATTGTGGCAGCTCCTAGGGCCGTCGGAGTGTCCAGGCCCCACAGGCTGGATCTTTTTTGGGGTCCTCAGTGGCTGGGGTGAGGCTCTGGCCCTGCCTGGGGGCCAGCTCCTTAAGGTCCAGCCATCAAGCAGGTGCTGGTGGGTGAGCCTGGCTCTCTCCACCCTGAAGATGCAGGACTGGCTGGGGTTTGGCCTGTCGGCATGCATGGCTGTGTCCTGGGTTGGGCTCGCTTTACCTCTGGTGTGCATCCTGAGAGGAGCCCTGATAGCTCAGTGCTGAAAGCACTCAGCTGCTAAGCAAAAGGTCAGCAGTTCAAACCCAGCCACTCAGAAGGATAAAGACGAGCAGTTGGCTTCCATAAAGATTGACAGCTTCAGAGACCCTATGGGGCAGTTCCACTCTGTCCTCTAGGGGTGCTGTGAGTCAATATCAACTCCAGGGCAGTGAATGTGGTTTGGGCTTTGCTTCCTTGAAGACTGACAACCTTGGAGACCCTCTGGTGCAGTTCCACTCTGTCCTCTAGGGGCGCTGTGGGTCAGAATGGACTCCACGGCAGTGGGAGTGGTTTGGGCTTTGCTTCAGTGAAGATCGACACCTTTGGAGACCCTCTGGCGCAGTTCCGCTCTGCCCTCTAGGGGCGCTGTGGGTCGGAATCAACTTGATGGTCCAACACCAAAACTGAGTCACTGCCGTTGAGTCGAGTACGACTCGTAGCAGTCCCTCCTTAGGTTTCCGAGGAGGCATCGTTATGGAAGTAGATTGCTCGGGCTTCCTTCCAAAGAGTGGCTGGTGGCCTTCTGGTTAGCAGTCCCTTAGGTACTGTGCCACCAGAGCTCCCAGCGGGTTTGGTTTTGGTGGGTCCCTAGACCTGTCTCAGACCTTTTCCCAGTTGAGCAGATGTTTTGCTCTAAAAATACTGGCTGGTTGTTGGCTGGCCCCCAAGTCAAGTCTGCAGTTGCTGCTATAAGTTAGTTTTTCAAGTAAACAAACATAATTTCCTGCCTCAAGCCAAGTTTGTGAGCTGTGGTTTCTTTCGCTCTTCTCGCTCCCTTCCAGGACAACCCTCCCTATGATAAGGGGGCCTTCCGAATCGAAATCAACTTCCCAGCAGAGTACCCGTTCAAACCCCCGAAGATCACATTTAAAACCAAGATCTATCACCCGAACATCGACGAGAAGGGCCAGGTGTGTCTGCCCGTCATTAGTGCTGAAAACTGGAAGCCAGCAACCAAAACTGACCAAGGTGAGGCCCACGCCGTGTGGCTTCCTGGGGGACGCTTTGAGGGTGTGCTGCTGGCGGCTGAAGGCTCTGGGGTCCCTTCACGTGCCACAGCAGGGCCTGGGACTGGCAGAGTTCAGAGAAAGCTTACCCGTCGACTCCCTACACACGACAGCGCATCTCGGGGAAACGAGGGCCCTGCATGGGAACCCTGCGTGCTCATAGCTGGGGTTGGGCTGAGACAGACATGCCCAGGGGTTTGCTGCGGGTGCGGCGAGGGGGGTGGGCGCTGGGTCTACTGGACATTTTCTGACAGGTTGTGGGACTTCCCACAGGGGCGGGAGAGCAGTGGTCCAGGTAGCTGAAAGTAGCAGTTACTGTTGAACTTTTGAACTTGAAGAAGGAAGAAAGTTGGAGAGGGCCTTCCAGGGGAACAGAGGGCCTTTGCCAAAGCCCAGAGATGGGTAGCAGAGGCTCCATGTGACGTGAGGAAAGGGGCGCAGGGCAGGCTCAAAGGTGGACCCGGATGAAGGACACAGTGGCTTAGTGAGCCTGGAACTGCCGGGAGTTGCCTGTGGCTGTGGGCATCTTAGTGAACACACACGTTTCTAGAGAAGGCTCTGGGTGCAGTGTTGGGGCTGGTCGGCCCCAGGAAATAACGGGACTTGGTTATGGCCTGTGTGTAATTTTCATTTCTTAATCTGGGGCTTTGGGTGGGATCTTAGTGTCCTGTTTTGGGGGCTTTCTTATGTGAGCCAATACAAGGTCTGTTTAGATCAGAGACAAGCCCCTGGGTGGTCTGTGAATGTGCTAGGCTGCTAACCGGGGGGTTGGAGTCCACCCAGAGGCACTGCGGCAGAAAGCCTTGGTGGTCTCCTTCTGAAAGATGAGCCGTGACGACAGGCCTTTGGAGGGCTGTCCTGGTCTGACACGCACTGGGCGCCAGGGCTCAGTTGACCGGCCTGCAGCTGGTGCTGGTTATCGGATCTGAGAGCGGCCAAGGTGGAGGCTTGCATTGTGGGTAGAAGCAGTCATTCTTGACGGACCCCTGGAAGATGGCGTTGAAAGCCTTCCATAGGAAAAGTGGGGCCTCGTGCTGGTGACGTCATTGTGGCAGGGGGAGGAGCATGCGCGGCGCTCTCACTCCTGAACGGGCAGAAGGGCGTCGGTGGGCTGGCCGCCTGGCTGGGTGGGAGCTGCTGTGTATAGCAAGTTGAGGAAGGTGTCCTTCTTGGCGCTGTTTTGTTGTGAATCCCAGCTCTGTGTTGGAAGCCCGAGGACTACAGGTGATCAAGGATGTCTGTCGGCCTCAATCCCAGTGTTCCTGTGACTGGGGCCGAGAGAACTCCCACCAGGCTGGGCTGTCTCATTACAGGGACCCTCCTTACCTGAGACTTGAGACAGGGGCGTGTCCTTGGAGGCACCAGAAGTGCACTTAGCGGGCCAGAGGGAGGAGGGGCAGACATTTGAACACGGCCCCGGTTACAAGTGGATTCTTGGGGTGGAGTAGACAAAGAGCTGGCTTGCCAAGGGAGGATGTTTTAGAAAGGAAATCTTAATAAAAGAAGAGGCGGACAGTTCTATGTTGAGGCATGAAGTGCCCGCGCGCTCCCAGGAGAGAGGAGGCAGAGTGGGCAGGTCCGGGAGCAGGGAACTCCACCGAGTGGCCCTGTGACCCGCAGTGCAGCAGGTGGCCAGGCCGCTTCCTGAAACCACGGGAAGCAGCAGCCTGGAGCCTTTGTCCTCATGGGGAAGGCCAAGAAGCCACCTGTTCTTGCTGGAAGGCAGATACGGTTCCGGACTCCAAGCCTGGAGTTGGGGCAAGAGCGCAGGACTGTGCAGCCTGCCACGGAGGCTTTGTGTGCGGCGGGTTCCTGGAGATGCCGAGAGGGCCGCTCCGCAGAGGGCTTGGCCCCGCTGGGTGTCAGGGCGCCCTGGGGACTTACTGTGAAATTTATCAATTTATTAATGCAGGCCTTTTGTGGGTGGTTTTTCTTTAATATGCCCTTAATTTGTTTTTATAATTAACTGTTATCGTTTTGTTGAGAATATCCACAGCAAAACTTACCAGTTCAGCTGTAGAATTGAGTGACATTGTGACATCCTTCGAGTTGTGCAACCATTCTCACTCTGCTTTTCTGAGGTGTTCCTCTTTTGTTAGCCCCCTGAGGTCCTTTTGCATTGCTATTGATTGTTTCAATTACACACACATACACTCAGACGCACACACACACACAGACGTGCACACACACAACTGCTCTCCCAGGCAGACATTCTTTGCTCAGGAAGCCCTTGTTTGGTTTAAAGGCAGCTTCAGGAGATATTTTTGGGTTATGGTTTAAAGATTATCTCAGGGCAATAGTTTCAGGGGTTCAGCCAGCCTCCATGGCTCCAGAAAGTCTGGATTCCATGAGAATATAAAACTCTGTGCCATATTTTCCCCCCTTTTGATCAAGATTCAGCTATAGAATCTTTGCTCAAAATGTTCAGTAATGGTAGCTGGCACCGTTTAGTTGTTCTGGTCTCCTGGCAAAAGAGGCCACGAGGCACACATCCATCCCCTACCCCTCCTGTTCCTGACGGTCCTTCCTCTGTTGCTCCAGGAGACTAGGGACCCCTTTTTGTGCCTTGAATGCCACTGCAGGCCTTCTGTGGATGGCAGATGAGAGTGATTTTCCACTGGAGATGCTAATGGAACATTTCCTTTCCTTTCTAAAGTACTTGTATGAGGTGATCTGAAGAAGTGTGTAAGTCCTCATTTAGGCTGTGGGCGGAGAGATGGGAGGCAGTGGTAAGTTGAAAATGGGGAAGTAGGAACAAAATCACTATATCACCACTTCTGCTCGGTTGCTTTAAAAAAAAAAAAAAAAAGCTACCAGTTGCTGGGCCGACTCTGGCCCATGGCTCCCCTGTGTGTCCCCAAATAGAACTGCTTCACAGGGTTTCCAGTGGTGGAGCTTTCTGAAGTGGGTTATTAGACCTTTCTTCCAGAGTGCTTCTGGGTGGATTTGAACCTCCAACCTTTCAGTGAGCCGTTGAGCACTCAGATGTTTGCGCCACGGGGCTTCTGCTCAGTTGGGCAAGAATGAAAAATGGAAGGGATGAATCTTGAAAGGGTCATAAATATATACCTCCAGTGCCCCTTCCTCTAGGGTGTTGGGGTGGGAGGACACTCCCCTAGAGCGATGGAGAGGTTGCTTCCCTAGAGGGATGGGGAGTGGGGGCAAGTTCCCCTACAGTGGCGGGAGGGTGTTCCCGAGAGTGACAGGGGGCAGGGGGCGGTGTAAGCAGCAGGCCATCGTCTGGGTTGGTTGGAGAACCCCCAGCTACCCCTCCCAGGCCTCCCCATTGCCTGCCCAGCCGCCCTCCTTCCTTACACAGCCCGGACCGCAGCCATGTGTGGGCCCTCCACCTCTCCTCCCCATGCACCCCCTGCTGCCTGCTCTAGGCCTGCCGCAGTCTGCTGCCCGTCTCAGCATGATGAGGCCAGGTTGACGGTAGTTGGTGTTTGGCTGTCTGAAGATGTCGTATCAGCCCACTCTGCGTTGCCATTGACTCTGGGCACCGTGCAGGCAGCCTCAGCATTTTGGTCCTTTCTTTGTAGTGGTGGGTGCAAAGTGGCCCCGGGAAAAGGATTGGAGTTGGCAGCAGAGAGGGAGAGAGGGAAGGCAGGGTGGTGGGAGCTGGGCAGGCGGCAGCATGCCAAGGGGGCTGTCCCGATGGGGGTCGGGCTAAGCGTGGGGAAGAGTGAGAGCCTGGGAGCCCGCGTGCCCACTCTGACGTACTGCTGTGTGGGTGGTTGCTGGCCCTGTCCTCCCACGCCGCCCTGGGGCCCTGTGCGCACGCACGGCCTTCCATCCCAGGGCTGCCCTTCCAGCAGAGTGCATTCCTGGGCATAGGTGTGGCATCTATCTCTGGAGATGTCAGCCGGCAGCTGGTCAGGTGGTTGGTTTCAGAAGCCTCTAGGAGTCTTGGAGGGTGGGGTCACTCTGCCCTTCCAAGGGGCTGACCTCTCTTCCCTGTGTGTTGACAGTAAACTCTGATTAACCTCACTCAGAACCAAGGAGGGGCCTGGGGCCAGGACAGTCCTGCCCTGGAGGCGCTTGGCAAGCGCTCATCTGGGGCCAACCAGTGGCTGGGGCACAGCGGGGGGGGGGGGGACCCCAGGTGTCAGGTTGAGAGGGGGCATGACTCTGTGAGCAGCCCCCCGCTATAACGTCGGCTGGTGGCTGTCCGGCCCTTGCTCCTAGGTACAGAGCGGGGATGGGTCGGGCTCATGTGGGGAGCACTGTGGGTGACAGGAGGCTGCGCTGTGCACCCGTGCTGAGGTCAGGGTCACCGCGAGGCTGAGCCAGCTTCCGGAAACCGAGCTAACCTGCCCACCTTGTCCTCTCTCGGCAGTAATCCAGTCCCTTATTGCACTGGTCAACGACCCGCAGCCCGAACACCCGCTCCGGGCTGACCTAGCCGAAGAATACTCTAAGGACCGTAAAAAGTTCTGTAAGAACGCTGAGGAGTTTACAAAGAAATACGGGGAGAAGCGGCCCGTGGACTAAACGCCGCCGCGGCCGGTGCCAGCCAGTGTGAGCAGAGACCGAGCAGTTGGGCTCAGACCCCGTGCAGCGGGACTCTGGGGAGCGTAGACGCGTGCCACCGCCTGGCGTCCGCACTCACTAACTTTCTACAGTTTCTTAATCTGAAGTGGTCTAGGTACCCTGTAAAGAAAGGATTAAAAATTTACGATGTTCTACTTCCGCTTTCCTTGTTTTCAAACTAACGGCTTCAGTCTACTTCCAAAGACGGGTCTTTTCTTTTCTTGTCCAAATTTATCCAAAACCTTCAAGTCGCAGTCGGCTTTTTCAGGAAAGAGGGGAGAAGGTTGTGGGTCACCTTCTTCCCCTGCCCTCGCTCCTCCCACTTCCTTGCATTCAGTTTACTTTTTGCCTCTTCACCTCCCCAGGCCCAGGCCCTGCCTCCTCCACAAAGAAGAGCCCCCAGCAGCACCCTCGCTGGCTGGCCTTCCGGGTGGCGCTGCCTGGTGCAGGAGTCGGTCCCAGCTCTCCTGACTCCAGTGTGTTGCCTCCTTTAGAAAAATTTAAAAACAGGCCAGCACACACACACGCTTATTTTAAAAAAAAAAAAAAGCTGTGGAAAGGGAAGCCCAGCTATTGTGTACAGACATGGCTGATGCTACCAGGGGCCGGCCTCGCTGCCTGTGGTGGCTGACCCCCGGCCTGGCACCTGCCTGCTGGAGGGAGCCCATGGTCGCAGGGGCGGCACGCCAGCCGGAAGACACTCCCAGCTCGGCTTCACAGGCCAAAGCAGCCCTCGCGGAAGGTCGGCTGGTCGCGGCGGACGGAGCTAAGGCCAGAGAGCCCACATGGCGTCCCCAGCACACCTGTCACTTTCACCACCTGAGCACCACCCGAAGGTGCCGCGGACCTTGCACTCCGTCTCCTCCAAGCAGCAGCGCCACCACATAACAGCACCCCAAGACACGGCTCGGACCTGGCAGGACTTGGCTTTAGACGGCATGGGTCTGCGTCGCCATCACTCCGGCGGACCCCTTAGGAGCCAGCCGGCCCAGGAACAAGATGGCCCTCCCGCTCTCCCTCTGCCTCACGGCCTGTGCGAAAGTCCACCCCCACTGGAAGCCCACGCGGTGATATCCTTTCGATGTGTTTTATATTGTTTCAACTGCCTTCTTTTGTAGAAATAAAAATTGGCCTTAGAATTTCTCATCCGATGAACTTGTAAGGATTTGAATGTTCGTGTTTTTTGAAAGCAGGTAGCACTGTCCTCCTGAGAGAGTAGCAAGTGCTTGTCGTGCTGACACCCAGAGGAGGCCACTCGGCGTTGGCCACTGGCAGCCGCCCTTCTTGGCCATTTGGGGTCCCGGGCCCTGTGGAGAAGACAGCGTAAAGAAAGGGCTTTTCGTTGGCAGTTGAGTTCTGTAACTTGAGTTCTGCCCAGGGCTTCCCACTTTGTAGGCCAGCTGGGCGTTCCCGGGGCACAGGTGAGCCAAGGTGGTAAGTACCTTAGGCATGTGTCCAGGGCTGACCGTGGGCCCGGTTTCTGAAATGCTGGGACGTGAGGGGCAGTCCTGTGTGCCCAGCACTTGGCAGCACCAGCTCTGTCCCCCATTAGTAGAAAGAGGCCCAGGGACTCTTACTTCACTCATACTCAGATCTGAAATAAAATGCCAAATTCTGTCCAAAGCCCGCCAAGCAAGCCACCATTCGTTCTCACTTCCCTGAGTCCTGAAACCTTGCCATTCTTGGCACCAGTCCCAGCGCTTCAGGTAGATGCTGTCTCAGCCCTGCCTGCCCGCCTGCCACCACCTCACCTGTCTACTCACCACAGAGCCGACCTCTGTGTCGGCAGCCCCTCAGGGAGGCAGCCCTGGCGTTCGCACCCCAGGGTCTGCAGACGCCTAGCTCGCCCACGGCGGGGGTGGGGGGGAGTCAGTGGGCCGCCCCTCCTGGGGCCTGGGCTGCCTGCTCGTCCCAACTACACAGTGGCTGGGTGATGGCCAGGCCCTTGGGGCAGGATGGAGCCAGGGTGGGCAGCCATGGCCCTCTGGAGGAGGGGAGAGCTGTCAGCAGCCCCTGCCCGGGCCCACTCAGGACTCCCTGCAGTTCCTCCCAGTGCGTGGGGCTCCTGCCCCGCCTCCGTCCCCTCCACCCCCCCACCCCAAGGTGCGGAATAAGCTTTTGAGATGCTGCGATCCCATCCTGCCCTGAATAAAAATGCTCTCCAATACCAGCTTGGCCCTGTGGGTTTTCTTCCTTCCTGGGGGCAAGCTCTAAGTGCTCTGGTGGCACAGTGGTTAAAGTGCTCAGCTACCAGCCCAAAAGGTTGGTGGTTGGAAGCCACCAGACATTCCTTGGGAGAAAGATGAAACCCTGTGGGCAGCTCCGCTCTGTCCTCTAGGGGCGCTGTGGCTTGGAATTGACTCCAGGGCAGTGCATGTGGTTGGAGCTTTGCTTTCCTGAAAATTGACAGCCTTGGAGACCCTGTGGGGAAGTCCCACTCTGTCCTCTAGGGGCGCTGTGGGTCAGAATCGACTGCAGACAGTGGATGTGGTTGGGGCTTTGCTTCCATGAAGATTAACAGACCCTGTGGTGCAGTCCCACTCTGTCCTCTAGGGGCGCTGTGGGTCAGAATGGACTCCAGGCAGTGGGTGTGGTTTGGGCTTTGCTTCTGTGAAGACTGACAGCCTTGGAGACCCTGTGGGCAGTTCCACTCTGTCCTCTAGGGGCGCTGTGGGTCAGAATGGACTCCACGGCAGTGGGTTTGGAGGTGGGCACCACCAGGAGGACCTGTGTGCCCTGGGGGGTTTGGGTGAGGTGGTGGCCCTGGCCTTGGAACCTTTGCCCTCAGGCAGCTTCTTAACCATCGGGACTTGCTGAAGGACCTGGTGGGTGTCTCTGTGGATGGGGACAGTGACCTCAGAGGTACATCACTAAAAACCTATCGGCCCTTAGAGAGTGATGTGGTCCATACTGGGCAGGGGCCGCCTGGGCCCCCAGAGCGGGGCTGTCTTGGACCTGAGGAGGCTGTGTTGGAGGTCAGGGCCAGGCTAGCACAGCCACTGTCCCCATGGCCGCCTACTGCAGTGCAGCCAAAGCCCTGACTAGAAAAGGGCCCAGCCAAGCCCGGGACTTACTCTTTGGCCTGAAATTTGACACACCAGCAGAGACCCAGCCTACAGGATCAGAACCAGGGCTGCAGGTGAGGAGAACCTTCACTGGGTGTCATTTTACAAATAAGAAGTGACTTGGCCCTTGATCCTTTTTGTGGGTCTCCACAAAGCCACGTGGGCACTGTTACCCCCTTTACGGCAAAGGACATCGTCAGAGTGGCTGCCAAGGCATCCCATTTCCCTGCAGTAGGGCTCTGAGCCCAGACACAGCCACGTGCCCCACCTCCCCTTAGCAGGAAGCCGCCAGACCCTCTGTCCATTTCCTGTCCGTTCCCACACATCTGTTAACTGCTCAGTTTCTGGAAAGATTCGGCTACTTCAGCCCTTGTTCCTGGGCCCAGCCGCAGCCTGGCCAGGGCCCCAGCGCTTCCTCATCACCTTATCTACAGGTGGGTGGTCCTCTGCCACACCCAGAGAAATCCATCTCTCTCCCTGTCCCGAGATAAGCTGCCTCTCCCTCCTCACTTCCTGCACACAAAGTGGGCCAAGGGCCCTGAAGCCAGCACAGCACCTAGCCCAGCGGCACTTGGTGGGTGGCCACGGCTCAGGTAGGCAGGAAGTTCGCCTCAGGAGCTGACCACCCTCCCAGGGCACTGCGATTCGGGGAGCTCAGAGCAGAAAGTGCTGTTTCACTGGGGAGGGCATCAGCCCTGCTCCGATGCCCTACAGAAGCCACGACGAGAGTATGCTCCCCACCCTGTCCTGGCCGCCCTCTGGGCAGTGCAGTCAGTTCACACCCCTTGTCCCTATGTGTGCTCCTCTTATAAGCTCCTTGCAGGTTGGGCTGTATGCAGGCACATGGTCTTGGCCTGGTGCCAAACAAACTACGGAGTAATGAACGGGTTATGGTAACTGACTGACTCCCTCCCCTTGCTGCCATCCCCACACACACTCTCTCCGTTCTCCCATGGTGAGCTGGCCCTCAGTTGCTGTATTCTATCTCAAGCCGTGACATCTTACTTCCTTTAAATAGCCCCCGGCCCTGGGGGCTAGTTCAGGCCCTCAGCTCAGCTCACCTTTCCCTTCCTGGGTGACTGCAGTCCCATGACTATTTGGAAACTGCAGACTCCAAACCTCTCTCCTGCCCACCCAAGCCTCTTCCTCCAGCTAGCTGCATCCTCAGCAGACCCCCTCTGAGGGAAAGGTCTCTGCCAAGAGCCTGCCTCCTGGCTACCCCTCGTCCCAGCTCCAGCCAGCAGCCTGCAAGAGTGGCCAGGTCACGGTGAAGTTGGATAAAGATGCGGGTTGTGGAGCCACAGGCGAGGGGAGGAGGGCAAGCGGAAGATCCCCCCCTTACCCTTCAGGAAGTCACATCCCGGGAGCTGCCGGCCAGCATAGCCCTTCTCGCTTGTCCCAGACTAGGACTCAGTGCATGTCAGAGATGAACAGGCAGGTCAAAGCCCAGCTCAGCCATCTCCACCTGTAGGTGTGTGCGACAGGGACAGTGGTACGTCACAGTTTATAAACATAAGATTCATCCAAAGCCAGGACTGGGTGTCCCGTCTGCATTTCTTGCCCTTTGCAGTGAGGCAGGATGACTCCGTGCTCAACCCCCTGCTGTCTCAAGACCTTCGATCTGGATCTAGATTGGCACCTCAGGTCATCACCGGGACCAATCAGAAAATCCCAGAGTCCAGATCCACAGAATGCTGCCCCCTCCTGGGAAATTGAAATGCACGGCAAGGGGCAAAGTTCCTTAGGTGGTGCGGGCAGCGTGTGCTTGACTGTTAACTTTGAAAGTCGGCTTTTTGACCCCACCCAGCAGCACAGCAGAAAGAAAGACGTGGTCATCTGCTTCCGTTGAGATTGAAAACCACATTCACTGCCAGTCGATGCCGACTCACAGCGCCCCTAGAGGACAGAGTGGAACTGCCCCAGGGGGTTTCCAAGGCTGTCAATCTTTAGGGAAGATTCTTTAGGGAAATTTTTATTTTGAGTGAAAGTTACAGAGCAAATTCATTTTCCATACAGCAGTTCATACAAATTTTGTTTAATGACTTCCTCCCAATAGTTACCTCTTCCCTGTGTCCTCCTGTCCTATGCATTCCTGCCCCCTGAGCTGTCTCCTTGTGCAAATACTCCCCCTTCTGTTCTCCCATGATTGATGGCTTCAAGGAGTGTATCTACCTGATGTAAATGTCCACCCCATATGCCTGTCTGTTGTTTGGCTGGAAGCCAAGGGAGTGAGTTCTGTTCCAGACCTGAAGGGTAACTAAGGGCCATAGTCTCAGGGGTTCCACAAGGCTCTTATCAGACCAGCAAACCCGATCTTTTTTTTTTTTAAATAATTTGTTGTTGTTGTTGTTCCACATTGTTCTCCCACTCTGTCCAAGATCTCCTACATAGATTCCCCTCTGAGTGGTTGAAAGTGGTAGCCAGGCACTATCTAGTTAGTTCTTCGGGTCTCATGGTCATATGGTCTACCAGTCCCTTGGACTAATTGTTTCCATGTGTCTTTGGCTTTCTTCATTCTTCTTTGCTCTGGACAAGAGACCCACTATTGCATCTAGGTGGCCACTTGCAAGCTTTTAAGACCCCAATCGCTACTCACTAGATTGTAGAACAATGTTTTTGTGTAGTATGTTATGCTAATTAAGCTTGATGTCCCAAGCCAAGAGGTCCAACCATTCACTCCCTTAGGGTAGCTGGCTGTGAACAAGAAGCCACTACAACCTTGCCCCTTGTCAGTATCACTATACACCCAGATATTCTCACAGCTCATACAAATACGCATGTAGAAACATAATCTGCTCACCCTATACAGGGTCATGGGCACATCCCCCCTGCCTAGACGCACCTGATCAGCCAGCCTGTCCACCTACCTGTCGATCTTTAGGGAACGCGACTGCATGGTCAGTACACCATTGTCAGTGATGGCAGTGGGGGGGGGGGCTTTCCTTCTGTGAAGATTGACAGCCTTGGAGAGCCTCTGGTGCAGTTACACTCTGTCCTCTAGGGGCGCTGTGAGTCGCGATGGCCTCTGGCAGAGGGTTGGGTTGGTTTTAGGTGGAAGCATGAATAAAAGCAGAATGTGGGTGGGTGGAGTCTTCTGCAGATCTTTTCTGAGAAACTGACCTGGGAGCTGGTTCTGGGTGCGTCCTTGTGTCTGTGAGGGTCTCCGGGCACCGTTTATAAACTCCCCCAATTCAGAAGACACAGATTGCCGTTTTATTAATGCAGTTACCTCTACCCACGACGCCCAGACAATCTGCAGGCCGGGCCCAGGTGTTGCAGGCTGGCCCACCCTGGAGCCGGAAGTGGCTGCAGGAGCTCCGGCCTGCCTTAGGGAGCAGCACAGGGCTAGGGAGATTTCAGGCCATAGCTGTAAGCCGGGGTCCCTACGGCCCCAGGGCGCCGCTCCCACTCGCTTCTTCACTAAGGAGGTATTAGTCCTTGGCTGTCCGTTGAGTCAGAGTGGAGAAGGTTCCAGAGTGGGCTCACCGGGGAGGGCCCTCGCCCAGCCTCTTGGAGTCCAGGATGTCTAGAGCACAGAGCTGCACGCCATCCTGGGCAAGCCGGGCCCGCAGTGTGGGTGCCGTGAGGACACGCAGCTCGTGCAGCCGCTCCCAGGAGCAGGAGAAGGCGTCCGGGCCTTCGCCGCAGCCCCCAGCCGGCGGCACGCTGGGGTAGCCAGGGTGTGCCATTAGCTCCGCTGTCAGGGCGTGGCCCGCCGGGACGCTTTCCAGGGCCCGAGCCAGCGCCCCGGACACGCGCTGCGCAGACATGTGGCGGCCGCATGTGCTCAGCCCCACAAAAGCATCTGTCCACCTGGGGGCGCCAGGCAAGGGGGACGTCAGCCGAGGGGCCCGCTGGGTCGCGGTGGGTGGGGTTAGGTCGGGACTGGGACAGGGGTTCTCACCGTAGGCCGTGGCGGGAGAAGGGGTCCACGGCGGCCCGGGCGTCGCGCCCCACGGCGCAGGCGAAGGCACGCGCTGGGGCCTCGAGCCACGCGCAGCCGCCCACACCGCGCTCCAGCGGTAGCCGCGTGAAGCGCACCCCATGGGCCTGCAGCGCTTCCGCGAACACCTGGCACACGCCTGCGGGGAGAGCTGAGTCAGACCCAGCGCGTCTCCGGGGGGCAGCCCACGTCCCACCTGGGAGCGTCCCGCACCTGGGAGCACGTGCACGTGCTGGTGCCCGTCCACGTGCGTGGGGTCCCTGCCCAGCAACTCCCGGAAGCGGTTCAGCTGGGCCTCTAGCTCGTCCCGCACCTGCAGGGGGAGGGCCGTAGATCCCTTTGAGCCTCTGAAGGAACTCCGGGGAGGCCCTGTCCTGGCGCCTGCGCCCGCGTGTAAAGCACAGAGCGGCCGGCCCTCGCTCCTGCCCGGAACGGCCTCGCAGGGCCCTCGGGGCGGGGCCTTGAGTCACCGCCAGCATCCCTACAGCAGCGCCTCCGCACCTGGGGCAAAGCCACGTCGCCGGCCACCACCGCCTTCCGGAATTCCATCTTGCCAAGGAAGAAGCCTTCTGGACCGAGCAGCGAGGAGGCTCCGTGGCGGGCCGGGCCCACGGGGCGCCCCTCGGACAGGTTGGCGTGGAGGCCCGTGGGGATGCTGTGCCTGCGAGTGGGGCGGGAGCTCAGGAGGCTGCGGGCCAGGGCACCCGGGGGTCCCTCCTCGCCCCGCGTGCGCCCTGTAGGAGGCGCCTCTCACCTGCGGGCCAGCTCCGCGGCGCTCTCCGCGGCCGCGCCGTTGACCAGCAGGGACACGCTGGTCACTGCCCCAACCAGGAAGGCCTCCACGATGCCCTCATCGCGCCGCGGGCAGTAACCAAAGTCGTCCGCGGTGACCACCAGCCGCACCCGCGGGAGGTCCATCGCGGTCTCGGCAGGCAGCTACCGAGCGGCGGGAGGGGGCGGGACAGCGAGGCCCCGCCCACTGACGTGGCCCCGCCCCCGACGCGCGCTCGCCGCGGCCGCACACCGTCTTTGTTCTCGCCGCCTGCCGGTGCCTGAGCGCGCTGCACCGACCCGCCAGAGTCCCTAGCCCCATTTATTGCCATGCGGGACTTTCCCTGCCTGCAAAAGTGACGTTTCATTTGAAAATACAAAAAAAAAAAAAAGAAAAACCTAGAGAGAAACATCTCAGAACTCACCACTGTTCATTGGAAGTGTCTTAGTATTTTCTCTAAGCAAATAAAGAGATTCAATTCCTCTTCTCCCCACCCAACGGTTTTTTGTGTTATTTGAGATCAGGGTTAGAGCAACGCTCTCCCGTTCCTGTAAGCCTTCATTCCTTGGATAGATTGTCGCTATGAACTTTGCGTGTTATTATTAGCCATTTATATTCTATTTCAAATTGCCTGTTTGTCTTGCTAATTTTTCTGAGAAGTTTTTCTTATTTGTAAAGGCTCTAAACAATAAGAAAACTGTTTTCTGTAAAGACTGTTTTTCTTCAATTTGACCTTTGCTTTTTAATCCAGTTTGTTTTTAATCCAGTATGTTTTTAATCCAGTATGTTTCAGAAAGAATGAAAAAAGCTGAAGAGATACACGTATTACCAATGCTTGGTTTAAGAAAGAGTTAGCCTGTTTCCGTCTCTTGAACCCAAGCCCACAACTGTTGTTTTCATAAACTCATTTTACCTCAGGGGTCCAGAAAAGTTTTTTCACTGCTGTGGTTGCTCGCCAGAGTTTTACATGAAATGTTGGCTGTCTTGTTTTTCATATGTAAAATGTAATTTTTTTTTTTTTTCCCCAGCCTATGAAATTGTTAATGTTGTTCCCAATTTACACAGGAGGTAACTGACGCCCACAGAGGGGCATGCCTGAGACGACCCTGCCAGGGTTGGTGGAACGGGGACTGAGCTGGGGCCTCTGGGAGGTGCGTCCGCAGTACTAAATACTCCCAATCTTGTGGGCGTTGCAGGGATTATAGGCCTCGTGTTGCCCTTCACCGTGGCCCTGCCGCAAGGACTGTTGCGTTCAAGCCCAGCGGTGATTCAGTTTGGAGAACTAACCACATGAACTCCACTGGGGCACTCATCCAAGCCAAACGCTCTGCGGAGCCCGAGACTGGAAGAAGGAAGTTGACATTTATAAAGTACCTGCTGGGTAAGGCGGAGTGCCTGAGTGGTACAAAGGGCGTGGGTCTGCTAACAAAAGGTCAGTGGTTCGAATCTACCCAAGGGGCACCTGGAAAGAAAGGCCCGCCTTCCAAAAACTCTGCCATTGAAAACCCTATGGAGCGTAGTTGTGTATGATAGCTACACTTGGGATCTCCAGTTAGAATCGACTTCACAGAGGCTGTATCTATCTGTACATTTTTATTCCCAAACTGGGCTGGCACTGGAAGTATCAGGGTCATGCGCCTCCATCTGACCCCTAAGGAGGGCCGTTTGGTCGGAAAATAAGTAGCAACGCTGTAGCTGAGGCTTTAGGGTGAATTCTATTGGGAACTGGGAGCCTTCTGGGAAGGCTTTTCAAAGAGGTGACATGCTGGGTTTAGCAGGCAGAGGAGGAAAGGAGGTACAGTTTCCTACTGGGGTGCAGGAGTGTGGCATCAAGGTTTTATTTAATCACGATACGGCCACGTGGAAGGACATACAATCCCTTTCACGGAGAAAAACATACCGACAGCGGTTGAGTTACACCCGCCTACTGGGAACAGCAGAGTCAGGACGGTGGTTTGGAGCTGGAACTCCTTCCCGCGCGCCAGGGCGAGGCCAACTCAGAGCCTCGCGGCCTCGACACTGCACAAGGAGCGGTGGTGAGGAGGTCGCAGGTGTAACCTTTCGCCTCCAGCCTGCAGACTTCCCTCGCTCCCCTCCAGGCGCACCAGGAGGACCAGCATCCCTCGGGCGAGAACCTGGCGCGTTTGTGCGGAGAACGGAGCCTGGTGAGGCGGGGGAGGAGCCAAGACAGACCACGCCCTCATCATTGTGCGGAGGAGCTAGCGGGTTCCTGTCAGCCAATCCGAACGCAGCATGCAAATGAGCAAATGAGCCTCTGTGCTGGGAGGCCCTCGGCACTGTGTTTCGTACGCCTGCGAGCGCCGGCTTCTGCGGCCCCGCGCGGAGCCCGGCGTGCGCTCAGGTAAGCAGATCCGCCCGGGGCTGGAAGGAGGCAGGGCCAGGCAAACCAATCCCGGAGATGTTCGGACGGGACACGGGTGTCCGCGGGACCCCACCCCCGACGACGCTGCACACGTGCGGCCCGCAGATGCCGGGTGGGGGTCCCTGGAAGAGCTGGGGCCGGTCGCGTAAAAGCCAAGCTGTACCGGGAGCGAGGGACCCGCGATAGACTGGCAGGCGGACGCAAGGACAGAGGCTGGGAGCCGTGGGGCGCTGGGCGAACCCTCACACGGCTCCGGCTTAGGGAGAGAGAATCGGATTAGAGAAGCAGCCGTACACCAGGACTGCAGGGGGCCAGGACCTCAGGTGGTGGGAGCGGCCCCACAGTGCAGATGAGCCACTCCCCAACTTTCAGGGGGTGTCCTGACAGCTTTGTCACACAGTGTGAGCAGGCACATCAGAGAAGCAGCAGGCGTCCAGAATGTAAAGATGTATGTATGTATGTACATCTCAGGGAGGTTCGAAACCCCAAAACCAAAAACCCCTCCTGGCGCAGAGCGGTGCAGCCAGGCGTAGCGGAGGCGGGGGTCCGGCCGGACCGCTAGCACCATGGCCAGATGCCGCCACCACTCCGGGTACTTGGCGGACGACGAGGCGGGCCACACCACGTACATGGCGCGCGTAAGTGTGCCCGGCAGGGCGCAGGCCCCGGGGTCCCCCACGTGTCTGCCACTGACCTGGGCTGCGTCCCGGACCACAGCGCCCCCTTCTCATACCTACTTCCCCTTGTCCTGGGCCTCCAGTCGTCCTGTTTTGTCTTGATCACTCCTCAGAGCCCTAGCCTGCCCCTGATAACCCTTCATCTCACTCCCCATGGCCTCTGACCTCCGGTGGCCTGGGAGGGGCTAGGTGGACTGGAACCCGGTGGGAGGAACTAGTGGTCCACTTAGGGCTATGAGAGAATGGGGTTGGAGGAACAGCCGTACACCAGGACCACAGGGGGCCAGGACCTCAGGTGGTGGGAGCCGCCCCACAGTGCAGATAAGACATTCCTCAGATTTCAGGGGGTGTCATGATAGCTTTGTCACCCAGTGTGAGCAGTCACTCAGAGAAGCAGCGGGCGCCAGTATGTAAAGATGTATGTATGTGTATGTCAGGGAGGTTCAGAAACCAAATTCACTGCCGTCCAGTCAATTCCAACTCATAGCAACCCCCGTTGGGTTTCTCCAAGGTAGACTGCCCCATTGTCCTTCCTCAGAGTGGGTGGTGGGCTTGAACTGCCAACCTTCTGGTTAGCAGTCAGATGCCTTAGGCACTGCAGCACCAGAGCTCCTTAAGGAGGCTCAGAGCACCCTTAGTTAGATCCGCATTCTGCAGGGAACTCCAGAAGGACCACCTTGCCCAGGGTCACACAGCCTCCAAGTGGCAGAGCCAGGGCCCCACTAGAGGGCTACCTGTCTCCAGAACTCGGTTCCTTCCACAGCCTACCCCCCTCCCACCTCCTAGGGCCTGAGGAGGGTCCCAGGGGGACATCCCTGGCCACCTTGACACAGCCATCTGCAGGTACAGCCACCCAGGAAGCCACGGTTCCCAGAGATGAGGCCAACCTCTAAGCTGGCTCAGGAGCCACACCCACCATCGCTTTCGGGCCCACGCCGAGGCGCCTGGGGCAACAAGCCCTTTGGCAGTTTCCTGGACTTCCTGGCTGAGGGGCAGGTGTTGGACAGCTTGCAGACGGTCGTGGAGGCGGCAACGGAGCGTATGGCCACCGTGAGGACCCAAGCCGGAGAGCCCCTGGTGGACGTGCAGGACCCGATGGAGGTGCCCAGCGGTGGGCGGCGGGCACGGGCCCGGCCTAGCCCAGGTACCGTGCACCGGCACCGCACACAGCCCAGCCTCTGTACCGGGCGACTCAACAACTACCCATCCCGCTCTAGCTCGGTGACTGACTCCCTTAGCGGCTTCTCGGCCTGTGGTGTGCGCTTGCACAGCCGTGACAGCGGCCTGGGTCCCCACGGTGCAGGCTCGCTGCCCCCCATGAAGGACAGACTCCTACTGGAGAGGAACCTCAAATGCCTGCTGCGGTTGGAGAACAAAGGGGTGAGGTGTCCGGTGCTGGGTGTCCTGGCAGGTGGGCTGGAGGCCAGGACCCAGCCGGGCTGGGCTGGGCAAGCTGCCCCCAATGCCGCTCAGAGCGCGCCCTCCCTCTCTCTGCAGAAAGACCGGAGTAAGCCCTCCTGCCTTAGGAAGTCGCTGCTGTGGGCCTCAATGGGCAGCCAGGCTAGCAGCCAGTGGACCGCAGAGGAACCACTGCCCTGGTTCTCAGGGCTGCTGGGGTCAGGCCCCGGCACGCCTGCGGCATCGGAGCTGGGGCCCACTCAGCGAGAGCTTATCTTTCTCAAGAGAGAGTTCGACAAGGAGATGAGGTCACTGCAGGGCCAGCCGGCCTCCTTCGACGTGCCGGGCTACTGCTCCACTCGAGAGCCGTATTGCACGTTGGACTTTCTGGCCAAACACCAGCTCTTCCCAGCCCTGCAGCGCGTGGTGTGCCAGGCTGTGGACAAGCTCAGCGGCGCCCGCCGCTACGATGGCTGCCCCCTCTTTTTCCCAGAAGCCGACAAGCCCACTCCCGAGCCAGAGCCCCCACCTAGTTCTGAGCTGCCACCGGGCTCCCTGCCACCCTCGCCCAGGGAGGACTTCACAGGCCGGGAGGAACCCTCTGAGTCGCCGTCCACCGCAGCTTCCGGCCCCACGATGGATTTCAGAAAGAGTGCCCCGAGCACAGGACAGGACAATGGCGTGGAAGAGGGCTCCTCCGTGTCTGGCACCCAGGTGGCCACCAAGTTCAAGCTTAAGGGGACCCCTCCAGAAGAGTTCAAGGTCCTGGGCCCCTTACCTCCCAGGCAAGAGGCATCTGATCTGGAGGTCAGAGAGGAGAACCCCTCCTTGCTCATCTCTGGGCCCCCGAACCCCAGCCTGAGGGCTCGGCTGTGGAGAGGCCTGCACATCACCCTGCCTGCTCCCGGGGTCACGGGGGACGCGCCTTCCCACCATGCCTGCCTCTCTCCCCTGGTGACCCCTGCAGTGGCCTCTCCCTCCTATCCCTCTACCTGCCACCTCTTCTCCACGCTGTCCCCACACTCTTCCACAAGCAGCTTTTCAACATCTGCTACTTCACTTTGTCCAGAGGTGACCTCCTCCAGGGGACATCTGGGGTGCTCAGGGACAGCTCAGCAGAGGAAAGGCTCTGTCACCCACCACTCCTAGCGGCCCCCGTCACATGGTCGGGGACCCAGCAAATGGTCTGCCACTGGGGCAACCTCCTGGGCAGGGGTCAAAGTGACCGGAAACTAGAAATCCTGCTCATCCTACGACCAGGGCTTGTCAAAGATGAATAAAGGCTATTTTCATTCTGGGTACAGTTTTTAACATTTGTAGTGCATTGTGGCGGCCCTGCCACGTAGACAGCAGCCTTAGCCCAGACTCGGGCCCCACCTCCTAGGTCTAGTACCACCCCAATCCAGCTGCCTGAGGCTGGCCTCTCCTCACTCTGCCCTGTGCAAGGGGGGTGCCTGGGAGCAGTGTGTGGGAGATGTAGGTGGCCTTACCCTGCCAAGTCCACAGTATAGCCTTCCAGCCTTCCCCACCACCTGCCAAGGCCCGAGCAGGCTGCAGCCAGGCCAGGGTGGCCACTGCCGGGAGGGCTTGCCTGATGCTGTAACTGTTGGCCACTGACTTTAATTGAGACTGGTAGGTGTGACAGTGTGATGGGCATACAGATTGGCAGATGTGCCAAGTGCATAGCCAGCATGGGAGGTGTGCCGAGGCCTAATGGAGGTGTACCATTACAGTGACACGGGGGGAGGCATTTGTGCAGGTGACAGTGGGACTGGTATGGCTGTTTTGGAGGTCATCACAGGGCCGCTGGTAGGATGGGGCCAGGGACATGACCTTCTCCCTTTTCCTTCCTGGCTGCTGTTCAGAATGCCAACCTCAAGTTCACCAGGAAAAAGCGACTGCCCTCCATCTCGTCCAAGTCCACCACATCCCACTTCTCCAGCCTCTGGCAGGAGGAGACCATCAACTTCTTGATCAAGCAGGCCGTCTCCTTGCTCCTCTACAAGTACAAGTTTGAGAGCAACCTACGAAAGCAGCTGGGCTTCCTCTCCTTCCCTGTCACGGAGGTGCTCCTGGACCTCTTCTTGGGCCTCAAGAAGGTGCAAGGCTCCAACATCCGCCTGTCCTCACAGATTGACTGGACCTGCCTTCTGCGTAGGCTGGAGGAGGCCGAGTGGGCCCTCCAGCTCTCCCGTCACAGCGCCTCCCAGAAGAGTGCCTCCCAGAAGAGCGCCTCCTCGCGAAGCACCTCCCCAAGAAGCGCCTCTCAGCGCAGTGCCTCCCAGCACAGCACCCCCCCACATAGTGCCTCCCAGTCCAGCGCCCCCCTGCAAACCGCCTCCCAGTCCAGCGCCTCCCCACAAACCGCCTCCCAGCACAGCCCCTCCCAGCACACCGAGTCACCCTCCACGCTGCCCAAGCCCACCACTACCACCAACCAGGATGAAGCCACTGAGCCTTACCCATCCCTGGACACAGAGTTACTCAGTCCACAAGAGCCCGCTGCTGGAGGGGAGGGGGAGGAGGAGGAGGAGGAGGAGGAAGAGAGTGCCAACCTTTTGGAACCCAAGCTCTCAGTGGCCTCTGGCACCAGAGTTGACTCCAGCCTGCCGAGATCCAAGGAAGTGGTGAACGTGGAGACCAGCAAGGGCAATGATGACCAGCACAATTTGGGGGGCAAAGTTGAGTTCCAGGTACCCCCTGAGCCCACAGTGCAGGCTGAGGTCAACAGCTGCTTGAATGTGAATTACAGTGACCCCCTGTGACCCTCCGGGACACACTCAGTGCTTGAGTCCTTGCTCTGCCCAAGCTGCTGGCCCCCCCATTGGCCTAGAGCTGGAATGCCCACGAGGGGCTTTGCTGAGACCCTCAGGGAAGCCAGTGAGAGAAATAAAGTCTATGTCTTGTTAAAAACAAAATACAAGACAAAATTCATTTGATAGTGTTTATTTGGCTTCAGAAAGAGTTCACAAAATGGCAACACATCTCAATGAGGCATGCTCTGCTGGAAGGAGAAGAGCTGAGCGTTTTGGTAAGAGATTAAAGGCAGAGGGAGAGACAAAACCAAGCCAAGCATGTCTGTTTTGACATACTATTAAGTCTAGCACTAGCAGGACGGACAGAAAGCCCATTAACATTGAAATCGATCCATTTAACAAAGGTCTGCTTACTCTCTGAGCTAAAACTTCTGAGCCAACAGGCAGGAAAAAATGTGCAGGCAAAAAATGTTGGTGCATACCAATGAGGCAACCCCCTAAAAAAAAAACAAAAAAAAAACCCACCCTGTCCATTCCACTCACAGCTCCCACAGAGAATAGAGTGGAACTGCCCCAGAGGGTCTCCAAGGCTGTCAGTCTTCACAGAAGCAAAGCCCAAACCAC